GATAACTATTACACTAAGGTTAGATTTATTTTATATTTAGTTCAGAGAAAAAAAATTATACAAATCCTATTTTCTAGACCAAAATATGGAATGTGGATGAAGGTTTCACTTCGATAACAAAATATTTTGTCAAGAAAAACTTTCATATCTTTTTAGTTTTTGATTTCTTGTTTTTTTTTATCTAGGGTCATTCTAAACCATTTAGAGATATATATATAGCGAGAAAAAATAAAATTCAAAGAGATGTTTTGATAAACTAATCGTTATCTATCCAAAAGAAAACATCGTTTTTGTGTTCTGATGAAAAAACAATGACTGATGATCATCGAGATTTCTCTTTATTTTTGACTTTATCATTCATCGATCCAATAGATATTATTGCCAGTTCACAAATTTCATTTATAAATATTAGCAATAAAGAAGCAGCTTTACTGTAGAAAATGGTGTCGTTAACTCGATTGAAATATTTTTAAATAATTCAGATATGAAACAACCTAATCAAAACAATGGCTAAAAAAGATACTGATGATGATCAAATGTTTTTTTTTGTTCGTTTAGTTTTTAGTGGATCTGCAAGGCTAATTCAATAACAAAATATCATAATAATTAAATCTCCATCTCTTTCACCTTGGAGAGAGCAATCAAAGCAAATCCGTCATGCATATTGAAGCTTGAAACAACACTGAATATCGTGCAAAAACTGATCAGTTTGTTGATTTATTCAAAAGAAAATTGAAACAAATCGTTTAATCCTTTATTTCTTTGATAATGTAGTTGTGTGAAAGTGGGCCTAGCTTTTCTCTTCACACATACAGGGCTAGGTGCATCAATTTCTTTCTTTTTTGAGAATTACTCTCAGTCGGCAAATATCAAACAACATTCAAATGAATGAATCATTTTATTTCGGATATTTTAGTAAGTGTACTAAAAATGAAATTTCTTTGTAGGTTAATATGTGATAAATTCGAGAAACTATAAGAACCAAACTATTACAAAAATGTTAGCTTACGAAAGCTCTTTGTAGAAACTGCTGTATTCGTTATGATGTTTAGTTGCCGGGTGGGAGCGATTTAATGCCGTGGTCGTTGATGGCAAAAAGCCAGTCTGGCTCAATTTTATTCACACCATCAAATGGATCTTCTAGATACAACTGTCCTCCATTAGCTAGAGTGACATCGATCCTTTGGATTGGTGAGTTAAATTGGCATCCTCCATTGTCGACAGTTCTAGACGCTACTTTATGTGTTTCACCTTGAGATAAACCGATGGCGTATTGACTCTCAGGACTATTTCCTGGTTCCTGTCCAATTTTGCGGTAGGTTACTTGAATTTGAACACCGCCGTTGCTTTCATTTCGAATGGAGCAGCTTTTGACAAATCTTGGAGGTAAAACACCACAGCCTCTGGCAGCCATTATCGTTTACTAGTAGAGTTGCTTGTTGGTTAATATAATAGTCGACACACACAAGTCAGTGTTCGATAGGAATGTTGTGATATGAAATGATGTACGTTGCACTAAAAATAAGAAAATATTTCGACCGTAATTACTTGCAAGAGGAAAGCAAAGAAAAAGACGAACGTGACTTAACGTACCGATACTTAAGCCAGTTGCTGCTAAGAGAGAGAACGAAAGAAAATGCTCGCAGGGCTTACATCAGGACAACGCGACAAAATATAAAAACCGAATGATGAAAAAAGAAGCATGGCATAGATATAATATGAAAATGTGTCTTCTTTTGTGTAAGCCCAATCATCCTGTGTGATTAGAATTATTTACGCGTTTGATCATACAAGAAAATAAGCATTTTAATTATGTTTAACACGTACGAATGCATATTACTCAAAACAAAAAAAATAATGATGCATATTCGATGCATGATAACGCATCCAGACGCTTCAGATAATTATTTTCAGCTGCAATCTGATATACTTCGGTTACAGCATTTTAGATACAGTAAAAATTCATTTAACATCTTGAAATATATAATTGGATATATTATCCAAATGATACCTAACTGGATAGGATTATTTCTAGTATACTACTTCTTAAAACAACGTTACGATTTTTTTTCTCAAAAAAAAGATAAGAATAAATGTAAATTAAAAAAATAAAAAGTAACCAATCTATTCTCGTTTCTGTTCAATAAAAAGTGATACATCGAAATCATGCTATGGACGGTGATGAATTATTTTAGTAATACAGAATTCAAATGTTTACATCGCTTTTGCTACTTTCCCTAATGGTGTTTTGTAATCAAGTAAACTGTGACACAATGTTTCGTTGCCAAGAAAAAAGAAACAATTTTTCTCCAATATTCCACATACATCGTTAGGATTTGCTGGAAAAATGCTTTTAGCTTGATCAACTGCGCCATACTTGTCTTTGTTTGTTGTTTTTTAACTCTTTTTTAGCTAAGTATCGATAATGATGATTTTTTCTTCAGGCATGATCAACAAACAAGTACATCGATTCACGTACACGTGTACTTACAAATTTTGCGTCTCTTTTTTATTTCTTTTTTCAATGGGGCTGTTTCTAATATCCGATAGTTAGTTTAAACAGATGATGCCATTTTATTCCGAGCTCAAATTAGAAAGAATACGATCTGTTGAAAAAAAACCTCATAAACATTGAGGTAACAAGAAAATCAGAAAATAATTTCGGTCTCTTTTCTACATATTTGCACATAACATAACCTAGAAAGGTGAATGATGGAATACAATCAATAGACAGAACAGAAGAAAAAGAGTTCTTGATAAGTTTCAATAAATTTTCGCACTACTCTGAACAGTGATCGTTATTTTACATACGTTAATGGTATTAAGAGTCCCTTGATTTACTCCTTCTACCAAGAATGAAGTAGAAAGTTTGAACGGTCGTATAAAACAACATTGTACTCATAAGGAATAAGTTATCATCTGATAGATTTTTACAAATTGCAGAAAAAATGCTAGTCGATTAGTCAATGAACATCATGTAGTATCCATTTCAAATAGATTTAAAAATCTATACTGGTCTCGATGTAAAAACTTACGAATGGATTGATAAAGTTGATAGAAACGAAATATTACAACTTGATGCTTTTATACTTTTAGCTTCGACACATGAATATCAAATGCATACTCATTCTTGCGCTAATTTTTTTATACTATGACAAGTTTATCATTTGATAATTTCAAATGGTGGTTGAACTTCAAATGAATTTTAAAGGTTGTGTGTGTAATGCTTCTGGTTACTTACGCCCACACTCACATATCAAGACAAACGATGAAATTTATCTTGACGTTCCATCTTAACTAGCAAAGCACTAAATTTTTATTTTGATTTATCAAATTGTAAATTGGAAGTGGGGATGGAACAACTTTTTCTATTCTGTCCTGTTGCCTTCTCCTGGCTGGCATGGACATCATCCTCAGAGCCCAGCTCTAATCGGTTGTATTGGTCAAATCGACAAGAATATACTGCTGTAGAACGGAAGAAAGCAAAGATTTTTAATAATGAACTTGCTCTAAACACTCTGCCAAATGAGAATTTAATACAGTTGAATACCAAGAAAAATATCTCAGTTACAATCTCCAAGTGAAAAGAAAAGGGTTATACATCTAAAGTTAATCATAGTTCAAAAAAGGCAAAAACATGAAAATGAGGAAGTCATTCATGATATCAGAGATGGGCAAGTCAGAGATTTTTAAGATTTAAGTTAAGTCAAAAAATGACTATATATTCTCATCTGGCTGCCGCTTATCTAAAGTACATGAAAGAATTTCATTTTCTTTGTTTCTGCTCTCATAGATACTTTTAGTGCAGACAAGAATTAGACGCATAAATTGCAAAAATATATCCATTTTTTTTATTTAACAACATACTTGTTTTTGTTTAAACAAAATATGCACTTATATTATATTTTGTCTTTTTTTGTGATCTTGATGTTTAATTATTTTGATTCAGACAAAATGAATAAATTATTGAAATAAGTACAGAATATGAAATTCTTTGTGCTGTGGAAAATCTAATGCAGTTAACACAAGCATAGGATACGTAACGATTTCAGTATTAGTGACTAACTTCCAGTTATAGCAAAAGGTATTAAATATCTTGTCATGCTCAACTTTCCTTTTGTGTATATATGGAAGAAGATAGAGGAGCATGGTTTATTAAATTTGGCAAAATTCTTCATAAATCTGAGCAAATCAATAAATAAACATGGGCAAGTCCAACTTATCATGGAGCCTACGTAAACAAAAAAGATCTCGATTAGTACAAGGTTGGTGACTAATATTGTAAAAGTATTCCTATTAACATCAAAGTCACACCCTAGGAGAAGAATTTGAACAATACTAACTATAGGAACCTTTATAAAGTAATATTTATTTTGATGTAATACTAGTATGACATAACTATTCAAGATCGACGTAGAGCAACACTAAGAAGAATTCATTTACTCTTGATTTATTCTCAAAGTGTTCTTGTCCATGGTTTTAGTTTCGATTTATTCAATATAAATGACATATTTTGTCGTGTATTCAATTACCTGATGTAAGTGACAGAAGTAAAATGAATATATTATTTATATTGGGCTGTATTTAATCAATAAGTGATCACTCTTTACAAAGCTAATATTCGAAATCCTTGAAGTTCTATTCGTGGTATCAGATGAACAATGATGAATGCATTCATTTTCTAAATCATTATTTAACTTCCAATCATCTTTATTAATAGAACTGTTGACGATAATTATGTATTGTAGAAGAGTACATTCACTGAACTCAATAACTTCTTCTTGATTCTGTTTGTAATTTTTATTCATATTTTATTTCAGCGGTATAATATAGAAATCATCTATTCATATATATCATTCGAAGTCAATATAATATGATATAAATACATAAAAGAATTTTCTCAATGAAGGAAAAAGTTTGTTGTTGCATGATCGTTGATGTTTATTTTCTCGTGGAGAGAGCACGATTATCATTCATATTAGGAACTATAGATCTTTGGCGTGATTGTCTACGACGATTGACTCCAGGCAACGGTAACCACTCATTTGATGGTACATAAGATTGACCAATATAAGCTAGAAGTCGAGGCCAATCTTGATAACGAAACCCGAAAGTTCCAGATTGCCCGGTACTATAAGTACTAGGCCAATTCATATAGCCATAGTTTGATAGATATGGATATTGTTGTGGATGATA